ACAACAAGGACATCTGTTCCACTATGTTCATAGCAGCATTATTTGTAATAGCCAGAACTTGGAAGCAACCTAGATGCTCCTCAACTGTAGAAAATGTACACTTACACAATGGAGTACTACTCAACAGAAAAAAAACAATGGAATCCTGAATTTGAAGGCAAATGGATGGCACTAGAAGAAACCATCCTGAGCGAGGTAACCCAGTCACAAAAAGACCAACATGGCATGTACTCTCTCATATATGGATTTTAGACATAGATCTGGGGAGTGCCAGCCTACAATCCCATGGCCAGAGAGTCTGGGGAACAGAACCTTCATCCAATGGCTGATGGAAGCAGAGGCAGACAACCACAGCTAAACACTGAGCTGAACTCAAGGAATCCAGTGACAGAGAGGGAAGACTGATGAGCAAAGGGGTTAAGATTGGGCTGGTTTAACCCCCAGAAACAGGGAATCTAGCCTGGGATTGATCAAGATCCCCTGAATGTGGGTGTCAGGGAGAAGGCCTAGGCAATCTATGGGGCCTTGGGTAGTAGATCAGTATTTATCCCTGGCATACAAATGGACTTTGGGTGCCCATCCAACAATGAGAGATGTACTCTCAGCCTGGACTCTTGGGGGAGGGTCTAGGCCCTGCCCTGGATGAAATGACAGACTATGGACACTCCCCATGGAGGGACTCACTCTCCCTGGGGAAATGAGGAGGTATTGTGGGGTTGGTGGGAGGGTGTCGGAGGAGGGGACAGAAAGGGGGAGGGACCTGGGATTGACATGTGAAGCAACCTTGTTTCTAATTTAAATTTAAAAAAAAATAATAAAAGAATTCCACAAAAAAAAAAGGAGATGGACTCTTAACCAATACTTGCTGGTGCTGTGTTCCCCCGCCCCCCACCCTTTCCTTCTTCCTTTTTCCACCTATCTATCTCATGTAGCCCAGGCTAAACTCAAGTTATTTAGCCTGACCTCTTTGTCTTCCTACTGCTCCCTCCTAAGTGCTGGGATTCCAGGCATGAGCCACCATGCCCAGCCAGTGTTTCTGGAATTTCCTAAGAACTTAAAGCCTTGCTTAGCCTCATGAGAATGATTCGGTTTCTTTACTCAGGTAGTTTTTAACCGTCATTACCTTAGACTTCATTTTAAAATAACCCTGTTCTAACAAATAACCTCATGCCCAAGGGACTCAAACTCATCGGTGGGGTGTTAGACTGAAATCACAACCCATGGCCCCCAAAAGAAATGAGAAGCTGACTCAAACTGCATGACTTGGGGAAGGTTGTCTGCACCTTCCCCTCCATCGAGCTTCTGTTTCAAAGACCTTATGTCCGTTGTAAGCTTTAAGTAAGGACACAGACACTAGCCTTCCATTTGGTCTGGACAGAGACTAGATAATGGCAGTTCATTGACATGCTTTCCAGGATGGTTGCCAGGCGGTTGTTTCAGGACTGTCATAATCTCTGAAGTGTCAGAGATTACACACCTGCACAACAAACCAACTCTCCCTGAAGAGCGTGAGTGTCGGGAACTTTTATTCATGTCTTCATCTTCGAATTCTGTAGGAATTGGCATGAGATACTTTCCTTTTACCTGTAGTTTGGATTTGGGGATCCAGCCATTATTTATGTGGATGGTGTGATGAATTTCAGCAAGTGATGAGCTTGCCTGAAAATGGCAGGGAGGCAGCCATGGGCCGTCGTGTTTCTCCCTGTAAATTGCATCGTCCATTACAGAAGGTACAGTAAGTTCTTCTGTGAAATAATAGCTCAGCCTCTTCACTGTATGCTCCCACCAGGACAACCTCATCCATGGTGTTGCCCCCATGATGAACTTATTCTGTCTTCACTGTGAGTGGAGTTCACAGGGCTTAGTACAAGGTGAGAACATCCCGGTGGCAGGAGGGGTGGAGCAAAGCTACTTACCTCAGCACAGCCGGGATGCAGAGAGCCTACTGACACTTTCTTTTTAACTAACTGGGAACCATAAAGTGACTGGTGCTCCGCCACACAAACTCACAAAATGCCAGTTGCTGTGGACTCCGCTAATGAGTCTACATATTTGTCAAGTGGATTGATTTCAGCAGTGTGTACCTTTCATTCAACAGCATAATTAGCTTTTTTACTTTTAAATTCTGTGAGCATTTCTTTATAGAGAATGGGGACTAAAAGGAGTCTCCGAGAAACTACTTATCATACATATAATATTCTGGTGTCAAGGAAAAAGCTTTCCATATGTTGTTTCTGATCTCAGTAGGAAACCTGAGAGGGAGAGGTTTTCATGATTTTTCAAATTTTATTTCACTGGATTTATAAAATATGTAACAATTAGAAGTTCCTTTTGTATGTGTATATGTAGTATGTAATAGGTTTGCATGTGTGTGGTGCACATGTGTATGAGTATATATGTGTTTTATATATACTGCATGTCTTCCTTGATCAGTCTCCAGTCTCTTGCTTGAATCTAGGGCTTGCTCATTCTAGTTGGCTAGCTGGCTCCGGGGTCCTTTGTCTCCTTCCCAAAGTACCAGGATTATGGGTGCCCATCTCACTTTTGTGGGTGCTAGGGGTGTGGATTCTAGTCCTCAGACTTGAAGAGCAATTGCCTGACAGAAGGAGCACCCCACCCCCACCCCATGTTGCTTTTATGAGAGTGTCCTGGTACAGTGGAATGAAGTGCTAACTCCATTAACGTCTCAGGAATGGGAAAGAGCTTTGAGAGTAGGATAGAATGAGCAAACTTGCATGTGTGAAAATGACTGAAGACCCTGGTGTAAACCACACCTTGTGTTTACAGCTGGTCTTCAGAATAGAAGGAAGGTACTCAGAGATGACATGATCACAGTGTTTATATAAGTAACACATCGTGTTTGACAGGGAACAGGAACCACATTCAGACTTCATATTCATCCTTAGATACCAACCTATCAAACTGCAGAAAAACCAAAGAAAAATTAGCATAATATATCCATTTAATGCCCTGGAGTTAGCCAATTATGTAGAGACTCAGGCTATACTTTCTATTCTTCCTGGGAACTACTCAAGTTCTTTGTCCAGAACTTAGAGTTCATTTTTTTGAGCTATCTGCTGTGGCTTACATGTATCATCTCTAAATTTTAGGTATTGAAACTACTGGGCATTGGTGGCTGCAGAAGGTGATTAGGCAGAGCTCACTGAGTAGATAAAGCTTTCACAGGAGTCTACACAGTTCATCTTTCCCTCTACCTCCTTCTCCACGTGAGGACACTGTCCCTTCTCCGAGGGTGTGCTCAGGCTCCATCCGGGCAACAGAGGCAGCCCTCACTGTCAGTTACAGCTGCTCTGCGGCTGAAACCTGGAAGCAGCCAGAATGTTTGTTTCTGTTATCAAATCCAGATGTTTTCAGTGTGGAAGCCAAAGCTGGAATATCTGTGTCAGTCCATAACAGTAGCTCATCTAGTTGATGACGTCTTTGGCACAAGGTCCTTCAGTGTTAAGTCTTATTGCTGGAAGGTGGCCATTTGTGTCGGGAGTGCTGCTTTTGGTTATGATTACATTTGACATAAAGAGCAGTTTCAGGCTAAAAGAGAAAGGCCAGATGTCTTGGGGATACTGACTGCTGCTGATATTGGAGTTGCTGAGTGAAACAAAGAAAGTCTATCTGGTTATGAGCATTGTTACTTCTTTCTTCATGTCCCAGGACTGTGACAGCATCAGAGTCAGGGGAGAGCAATTCTAGGAATCACCCCTGCTTGTCTTGGGGGTCAGAGACTGTAGTCGGGTACGAAGCTACTACTGACAGACTTTTATTTTATTTTGTAACTTTGAAAAGTAAGGTCTTTCCTGGTTCCCATTGACTTGAGATAGATGATTGATGTATTGTACTGACAGTTTAATGTAATTAATTTTCTTTGAACATTGATTAAACGTCATAGACTGTTTCCCTAGAATATATTGACAAATCAGAATGAAGTTATTCCCAAGCTAACACTACCCAGCGTAACTTGCTTAATAACCGAATTGTCCTGCATGATTTTATCTAATGGGATTGTCACTAGCTGCACTTCACACATGACTCATGAAACTGAGGAAGTGGACTTCTTATCTAATATATTGAAATTAATATGAGCTTAAGCCACATATACCTGATGGCTACCATATTGGACAATACAGTCTTAAACCCACCTAAATCCTGTAGGTAACAGTCCCTGTAAAAAAGGTTTGTGTAGAATTTCATAGTCCTAGTACCTTACTGTTCAATAATGACTTGTAATAGAGCTTTGTTTGGCACTGTGTAAGTAACCTCTTTGTCATTCAAGATTTAAAGGTGTTTTCAGTGTTTGATTCTGTCTCTTCTATGCTGCTGTGTCCATGTGGGTTTGTCTCAGGTTGTTAATGTTTGTTAAGATAATTTGAGAACAGCTATAGAATGCTACAGTAGAATCTCTTATGTCACTGTGTCCCCTACTAGGAACACTCTGGTGATTTCAAACCATTTTTGCCTCAGTATTTTAAAAGTGCAGTTCCTGTACTTACTTGAACATTACTTAGTAATAAGATTAGAATTCTAGGCATGATCTTCATACAATCTGATGTTTTATCTCTGTGGCAATGGTCCTCAACCCTGGTGCATGTGAGAGGCAATGAAGGAAACTTTTTTTTTTTTTTTTTTTTTTTTTTTGGTTTTTCGAGACAGGGTTTCTCTGTATTGTTTTGGAGGCTGACCTGGAACTCGCTCTGTAGACCAGGATGGCCTTGAACTGACAGAGGTCCTCCTGCCTCTGCCTCCCAAGTGCTGGGGTTAAAGGCGTGCGCCACCACCACCCTGTGGAAGGAAGCTTTTATGTTCGCCTACTGCTCTAGCCCAGGCTTCCTGACCTGGGCAGAAGAGGGTGTGCACAGTACAGTGTTTAGCCGCTCGTATGACTGGAGTAATTAGTAGGCTTGAGGCAACTAGAAGATGTGGCTTTCTATATGGAGGAAAATATTCTAAAGTAGAAACTAATTCATAATCTCCCTTCCCCTTTCTAGTTGGAGCCCAGATTTCAAGTTCCGAGTAAAGTGCCATCTGGGGATGGGCCCCATTGTGCTCACACACTCAGAACGAGCTATCCAAGGAATGTCCTAAAGGTCAGTGCCTGGAAGACAAATTAGTGGGCTTATGTTTAATCTTTACTAGCAATGAATTTATTAGTAAATTGTGATGATGAATTACTTTTGAGTAGAAATGGCTTTTAAAATTGATTTGGTTCTACCTTTATACATTTGATTATTGAAATATCTCAGGAACTATAAAATGTCTTAAAAATTACATTTGAATAGGCTATTTAAAGGAAGATGTGTAGCTCATGTTTACCTGTATACTTATAGATGTGTAACATGTATGCAAAGATATCCAAGAAATTGGTGATGTTGGGAGGGGACATGAGGCTTGCTGGGGCTTCTTTTCACTGTGTATTTTTGTATTACTGTATTTTAAAACCTGTGGTTATGGTAAATTCCAAAACAAAAACAAACAAAACCTTTACCTGAAAACTTTCTCAAATTTTTAGTGGTAGTTTTACAGTTTTTCCTACTAGGAAAATAGAAAACAACCCTGTTTTAATTGGAGTTGATGGCCTTTGCTGATTTGGTTTGGATGTGAGATTTGGGAATCCTTCAACTTTCTCTTTCCTGAACTCAAGACCTAGGGTCTAATTTTTCGTTGCATCTTCTTATGCTCTATTTAAGTCATCTGTCCCTCTTGATCTTTAACACTAGAGTAGGCTCTTTCTCTGGCTTAGTTCCTGGTACGAGCGCTCTTGCAGCCGCACAGGTGGATGGCCGAGTCCTCTGCATTTCATCCTTTGATTCTGAAAGGCTGCCAGTTCCCTGATTGTTGATCCTGTGTCAGTGGCATCACCTGTCCCACCACTACCCCACCTTTGTCACCAAAATAGCATTAAATTCATCCACCAGACACCACACACTGTTTGGAAACTTTAGTTAGCCTCACACATGAGCCTTTACTGATGGTTTTGTCTGCCTTTCCTATGCTGGGCTCATCTTCATCGTAGCCTCAGGGTCAATACTTAGAGGAGCCAGCATCATGTCTCATGCTTTTTCCCTTGGTTCATAGTCTGTTTACTAGACATAAGGTCCATCCCATTGAAAGGGCTTGAGTTACACTTCCAAGATATTGTTCAGATGTCACTTCTGATGCTAGCTGATGTCTTCAGTATTTTCCGTGGCATCTTGTTAATTTAAATACCATTGTTTACTGTAGCTCACATTTAGCCATAAACAGGAATTTAATATATCTTTGCATTTCCTTACAAGGCACTAGGAAGCGGTCTGTTTACTTTGCTGTCACTATCATCTGGCAGAGAGCTTGGATGCCAAAGTGTTTCTAACTGAACAAGGAAACAGAAGTTAACGTGTGCGGGTTGTATATTCTTGCTTATAAATATTTGCACTCACCGCTTTAGTGTCTTTGGGAATGAAATAAAAAGCTAAAATCAGCACGAATGAAGAAAAGGGATCATTAATTGCTTGTATTTGAGAAGAAGGGAAGTGACCATCTTTTTAAAGAGCCCAGCACATTGCTGACAAATGGTTCATGTGGTAACTGCAGTGCAGTTTGACTTTGATTTCACATATTGCATTGATTGGATGGCTTGCCTTTTCTCATTTTCATTTGGAACCTGACACTATCTCCCCTCATCATTTTGTAGTTTGACTGTACACACCATGATAGAAACTTACTGTAGTGTCCAAGTTTCTATTTTTATGGATGCAGCGATCTGATGAACATTCAGTGCTGGTTCCTTGCTAAGTTTAAAAAACTAGTTACAAGTGTGTAGTTCTGCAGTTTTTCAGTGTTCCAAATAGGGAAACTGGTAGGTTGGGAACTGTAAGCCTGCTCTGCATCACACCGTGTAGGTGATGAAAAGGATTCCATCCGGAGTCAGCAGGAGTGACTAGCTGAGAGAGCAAAGGTGGTGACAATTTTTCCTCCTTCCTTTTCAAACCTAAGCTCTCAGCAGGGCAGTGGTGGTGCACACCTTTAATTCCAGCACTCAGGAGCCAGAGGCAGGTGGATCTCCGTGATGTGGAGACCAGAGTGGTCTACAGAGTGAGTTCTAAGACAGCCAGGCTACACAGAGAAACCCTATCTCGAAAAACAAAAACAAAAACTAAGCTCTAAATAGACACATACTTTTAACCCCATTTTTCCTAGTAACCAAAAACATTGTAGTTACTTAAAAAAACTGGTGTGTGTGTGTGTGTGTGTGTGTGTGTGTGTGTGTGTGTGTGTATGGGGGGGGTCAGTTCACATCTGCAATGCAAATCTTAGGAGGCAGAGAGGGTTGTCAGTGTTCACACCTGTAATCCCAGTACTTAGGAGGCTGAGATGGGGTGTGGTTACAGATTCAAGGTCAGTTTGAGTTACATAGTACATACCAGATCTGCTGGGGTGTCACAGCAAAGCCCTGTCTAGTAACAGCAGAAGTTATTTAAGTGGTTCTGACAGAAGTGGGGGATTCTAACTCTGAGTCCAGGGAGAAGAGATTACCAGCCACTATCAGCCAATATGTGATCTCTACTTTGAGTCTGACTCATAAGAGACAATTGTAGAAGCTGTGACATTTATGAGATGATTTATGGATATTTGAAGGTAGTTTTTGTTAGCATTTCTGTTGCCGCAAGGAAACACCATGACCAAAGAGCAAGTTTGGGGAGGGAAGGGTTTATCAGGCTTACACTTCAGCATTGCTGTTCATCACTGAAGGAAGTCAGGAAAGGAACTCGTTAGATTTAGGAAGCAGGAGCTGATGCAGAGGCCATGAAGGGGTGCTGCTTATCGGCTTGCTCAACCTGCTTTCTTAATGGAACCCAGGACCAGCAGCCCAGGGACGGCACCACCCACAATGTACTGGACCCTCCTCTATTGGTCACTAATTGAGAAAATGCCTTACAGCTGGATGTCATGGAGGCATTTCCTCAGCTGAGGCTCCTTCCTCTGATGATTCTAGCTTGTGTCAAGATGACACAAAATCAACCCAGTACTTCAGGGGCCCCCTTTTACTTATTTTTATCATGATGCTCAGCTTGGGAGATCCTTGGGGTTCTGATGCTTCCTTGAGTGCTGGAGTCATAGTCATGTAGTCATGTGTGTAGGTGGAATTTCTCTGTGTCCCAGCAGTCACTCCCAAATAACTACACAGAGGCTTATTATTTATTATAAACGCTCTGCCAATAGCTCAGGCTTGTTACCAGTTAGCCTTAAAACTTAAATTAACCCATTTATATTAAACTACATTCTGCCATGTGGTGTTACCTCTTTTTCATCCTGTACTTTCTGTTTCCTCTCCATGACTCACTGGCAACCCCTCTGACTCCACTCTCCTTCCCAGTATCCTCTGTGTCTTGCTGTCCATCTATACCTCTTGCCTAGCTACCAGCCTGTCAGCTCTTTTATTATAAAACAGAAGGCACATTGGCAAAGTCTTCACAGTGTACAAAAAAGACTATTCCATAACAAATATCCCCTACTACTAACTGCTGTATTTCATTTTTAAAGGTTATATTCATCCCCCAATGAATTTACAATAGGCTTTTTACAGTATATTCCCAAAGTTTAATGCCAAAACAGGGTTTTGCTTGTCAGGAAGTACACATATATGTGTTGAACTATGAATAGCAGAAATAGCCCCCATTCCAGTCAGTTTAAACAGGAATGCTTTACTGGAGTATTAGTGCTGTATAGACTCATGGAGCAGAGGGAAGGACTGTCCTGTGCTATAGAACAGACCATTAAGGATGCTTTCTATTGGAGATTTATTTTCATCTTATGAATATGTGTTTTTTGCCTGTACAATTGCACCCAGTGTCCAAAGATCCAGACGAGGGTGTTAGATTCCCCTGAAACTGCAGTTACAGAGAGTTGTGAGCTGTCATGTGGGTGCTGGGTGCCAAGCTGAGTCCTCGGCAAGAATGGCATGTCCTGCCGGGCGTTGGTGGCGCACGCCTTTAATCCCAGCACTTGGGAGGCAGAGGCAGGCGGATCTCTGTGAGTTCGAGGCCAGCCTGGTCTACAAGAGCTAGTTCCAGGACAGCCTCCAAAGCCACAGAGAAACCCTGTCTCGAAAAACCAAAAAAAAAAATTAATAAATAAATAAAAAGAATGGCATGTCCTTCTAACTGGGAGTCATCTCTCCAGCTCCCCTTGACCATGCTTTATGTATGGGGCAAGAGATCTGTAGGTGTGGCCAACTCAAAGCTATAGGCCAGATCTGACCTGTGCCCCAATATGTGTGTTACTTGAACTGTGACTAAACTGCCATTTTAAAATATTTGAAAAATATCACCAAAAAACCAATGATGTATATGTCTATATATAATCTATACTGGAGCATAGCCACACTTACTTATTGCATGTGCCTGCTCTCACCCCACAAAGGCAGTGTTAAGCACTTATAAGAAAAACTGCCTGGCAAAGTAGCTATTATCTGGCTCTTGGGGGAAAGGTTTGCCAGCCCTCGTTCTAGGATATACACTCTAGGCTGCCTCAGGAAGCTGCAGTTGTTGCCAAAGAGCTGTGACAGGTCCTGGAACTATAGCCCCACAGCTGAAAACATTTACCATGTGGTCTCCACTCTCTTCTGCCTGAGAAAGCTTATGCAAGTTAGTTTGATCGGCTCATCCTAAATTGCAAGCAGAACCTGTGTGTAGTCTGGAACCCCTGCTATTTTGTCTGTGTGGTATATGATGGCATGTTACAGAAGCAGGGGAGAATGGATGCTGGCCTTCAGTCCCTGCTACGTTTATCACATTGTGGATATAAAACTTGGAAACACAGCATCCCTGAATTCATTAAAATGGTACCTTCCGCTGGGCATGCATCTGGCTCCTTCTGCAGAGGCTGTGGGGGGGATCTCAAGTGTGAGGCCCATGTGGGCTGCACAGTAGGCTTCTGTGTCCAGGTTTAACAGAAGGGTGGGCATGAGGATGTGGCTTACAGTTCAGTGCTTGCCTAGCATTCATAGGTCTTGGGTTTGATGCAAACATCACCAAAAGCAGCAACAATGCAGGATCAGTTTTTCACCAACTCTACACCACACATTGCTTAGCTGTAATTATGATCTTGT